CGTGTTGTGCCGCATGGTGAATCCCTCTCGCTCTAATGTTATTGCCAAACCGACCGCGCATCCCTTTCCTCACAGCGCTGTATTATGCGGAGTAGCATTCCACTAAGAGCGGATTCCTCCGTGGTTCAAAGGTATTTTCTCTCGGAGAAAGTCACATTGGGATTTAAATGGATTATTATAACCAGTTGTGATATTTACATCCGTTTTATCTCTATGAAAAGTCTTAGATTAACGAATTTATCATCCCGCAGACTTTTAAAGCTCTATCAGCTTAATAGAATTTGCTAAAAATTTGCAAAAAGTGAAAAATTCGATTTTATCACATTAGAAATTGCCAAGTGGAGTCGAGTCGCTTTCTTAGCTTTCTAACAAAAATCGATTATTCTTGTTACTCGATAAGATTTTTATCACTATTGTCACAAATCATCGATGACCTGAGTTGAATAATAATTTGTTATATAATTCTGCATAATTAATCGTGAATTGTCACACAGATATGAAATTACGCGATGTGTCTGCGCTCTCTCTCGGAAAGCTTGAAATTTATATCTCTAATAAGATAAATATTTATCCCGATACTGATGCGCGTCAAGATTTACAAATTAGTTTATACTACCGATTGCTGTGCCGACCAGTGATTATCGCGCATAAAAGAAGGACAGAGGATCTGTTTTTATGTGACAATTTTCATATAATTAAATTTAAACGCATGAATCTACATATGGTAGATTTGCATGTCACGAGCAAATCCACTTATTATTTGAATAATTGTTTAAATTGATGCATATGCATATAATTGAATTCGCAGTAGTAGCAGTTAACGCTTCCGTGATAATATATGTCATATTATGTTGCGTACGTAAATCCCACTCGTCTTTCACCGATTTTGCTTTGCCAGAATCATTACACGGTTTGTGTATTCAACGTGAGAAACCTTTAGTTGATTATAGGTACGCCTGTTCCTTACAATGTCGCTTATGTGTAAGCATGTTGCATTGCAAACACATGTCGTACAAACCGCTACTTGCTTCGCTATTCAAGAACATCCTGCAATTCGACTAAACGTGCTTCTTTAGGAACGAAAGCAATTTACGGCAAACATGGAATATTAATAGCAATATATTTAATAAAAAATATTGTCTTACGACTTTCAGATTAGCAAAGCTATCGTATTTGTAGACACAAAGACACACTTTATTTGTCCATAAAATCAATCTAGCGGTCAAGTGCAGTGAATACAATCCTCGAAATGCATCATCACAAGTGTCGCGAAGCGATACGCTTTCTTTCTCTCCGAATCGTAACGACGGATTACACGCAAAAAGCGAAGGAGCGCATCTTGGGATATATCATAACTGCTCAATCAGCCGCGCAAGTGTAAGATATATGAAAATTTTAGGAGTGCTCGTAATGTTTTGTATTTATATGTATGTAACAAAAGTTTTACAGTGGCGTGGCGAGATATCGGATTATGAATAAAACGGCATGTTTTATTAAAACCGAGCGACACCCGATAATCAAATATATCAATCCGCGAATCAGGCCGATAAAATCGAGAAAAGAAAGTCGCGAAAGCTTGCACATCAGTACACTGCGTGGTATTCCGCCATCGATTTAATTACCGATTAATCTAGACTTCTTTTGTTCCCTTTGAATAATGTCTACGCTCGCCCGACCAGAGATCGCTCGTGTATCACCGCGCTTGTTTTAATAACGACGATAAATCTCGAGTCCCACCGCAACGCCGTCGGAATATTCGAGACTCCGCACCATTGCCTTTTTTTGTCGTCCAGATTATTGGACTCTTCGCAGTCTCGATGTCACGTCGACGGAACGTTCTCGATTGTGTTCGACGGGGTACCAGTGATGAATCAAAAGAAATCCCCATGATTTAATTTCTCAGGTAGACAAACTGAATAAAAGAATTAAAATTTAAGTGCTTTAATATGCTAAAGTTTCTCATAAAATACTTATTTAAATCTATATGCTGAAAGATTACGCTTTATTACGAGTTCTTATTCACGTAATGCAATCGCTTCTCATACCCAATTCGATATTCTACAGTATATATAAATGAAGCAATATATTATATAAAAAAATATATAATTATATAATAACATAATTATATAATAAATCCAGCGCAATATATACTTGTGCAACGCTCTAAGCGTCCTTTTCATTCGCAAGCGGCTTTCAACAACCTTGCAGCAATAAGATTAAACTGGAAATTGTGGAGCGCAACGCTCGGAGAATCCCCGTCGCTACTTACGACGTTATTAAAACACCTTCTAAGCCGACGCGGCGGTGGATGTCTCACGTTTTTGCGGCCGCGAATCGATAGCTTTTTCGATACGCCAGCGTGGCAACAAATCATCAGAAGTATCATTTATTCCCAGGCGTTCCTCGACGAAGCTAATACACCTCGGTGAAGCACCTCGCGGAATAGCCAATGGGAAAATGGTAACTGGGTATAGACCGGAAATGACTACCAGCCGATAACCGGATATCTAATATCCGACCGTTTGGGCCGGCCGAGTGCCGAAAAATATGAGAATCGGATAAGCCGCGGCACACTGTCCGCTAACCATATTCATCGGATTGCACCTTTTGCTCGCGACTCGCTGCACTCGCAAAAATTTCGACTCGTCGTAGAACGACGGCCGAAATTAAACCTTTTTTCATGTTTAGTTACATTTGTTTTTAAAATTGCAAAATAAGTAATTAAATATGACCGGAATATATTACCGTACAACCACAATGATGAATCGAGTAAATATGAATTGTTTACTTTCTCGTTAAACAGACGTTTCACGCAGCCAAGACAAAATTGCACATTCTTCGAGTATTAATTATGATGTGTTAAATAACTTGTAATCGTGCGATAAATTAATCATTAATTATTCTGCAACGATATTCTTCACACACACACACGCGCGCGCACACACACATCACATCCGTAGTCTGCGATGATAATTGAACTCTCTAGTGATTTTAATTATTTGCTATTGCTGCATCGATGCTGCGCAATATGTTCACAGGCGTTAATTGGAATTGAAATGCGGATGGTTGAACTTTCCTGAAATTCATTAGTGTTGGTGATATTTCCAAAGTATGTAGGTTGTGCGAGACTTTGGCGTTAACACAACCAAGTAAAATAGGAGAAAGGGAATGAGTAATCAAAGAGAATTATATAACGCTCGGCTGGCTTACAATGGACATGTTCTTTGAGTCCTTCTCACTTGTTCGTCTGTTTTATGCCATTAAAACAAAGGGGCAAGAGAGAATTGCTGTACGCGCAATCCATAAATTGTGCATTCAAGAGAATCTTTGTCCAAAAACAGTCAGTGATAATATATAAATAATGTATCTTCTTTAAAAGATTTTTACACAAATGGATTATAATTAATTAATATTTTCAGAATTTTTACTCAAAAAACAAAATGATAGATATACTTTTTATAAAATTTTATTGTGTGATAAGGTGATGTAACGATTAAAATTGAGACTAAAACAATCAAAGATTATTAGGTACTTTTACCGCGTTTGATATAATAAAAAGAATCAGTTATCGACTTTTTATACATCACGAAGTAAGCAAATTACTTTATTTACAGAGTAAATATAAATTTTTCTCGAAATTGGTCGCATGTCTAGAACGTAAAAATCAATTAACACAATATTTTGTGAAAAAATAACACTTGAGTTATTTTGTAAAAAGACGGTTCTCATTTTATCAATTTTTCTCTTAATCACTATTTGTTGTCTATTTTTATCAGCATCAGATCCATTCAATAGAGAACTGCTCCTAAATGAGAGAAAGAGAAGAGAGAGAGAGAACTGGTCGCAGCTAATACGCTATCACTGATACAGTATCGATGATAATTAATAATAATTGCGTGCCGCTCGAGTAATCGAGCATCCATTAGCGCCATTACGCCCATCGTCGTGTTACCACCCTTCGCGCCGCATGTTCTCGCTTCCGCTCCATTAACTTTATTATCATCACGTCGTAATGTATTATTATGTATTACGACGCGCGTTACGTGTCGGGGTCGTGGAGAGGCGAGCGAGGAAAATAAGTCGTAGCGGGGTACGCTGATTTACGCGAGACGAGTGCGCGTTCCGCGCGAGCCTTCTCGGATTTTAAGGTACCCGCCGCAGGCGTCTGCAGTCGCATGTATACGGTTAAATGACGCCATTCTGACAAATGCGCGTCATCAATGGCGTCTGGCAACTTTACGCTTCCCGAGAACCCCTATTATCGAATGCGTGTCCAATCCTACGTTTGTACCGCTACGGCGAAGGTTCTCTATAAAAGCTACAGCTCTGAATCGCCACATTCCACGAACTCCTGTTTACCCAAGATGTTTTCGCACTTGAAGAATATCACGCGATAGCGCAGAAATTTCTCGGATATCGTGGAAATTCTTGGATTTTCGTCGTTTAAAGTCGTTGTACATTTGCAAAGAGATTTTTTTCTCAAATGTGCTTTCTTCTGTGATAAAGGATTCGACAGGATTTGAAATATACAGATCGTTTGTATTAAAATAAACGATAAAGAAGAATATGATGTATGCAGCAATCGGAGAAATAAACCGTCGCAACACAATCAATTTGACTGAACGCTCGATCCAAACGCGAATAAACAGTTTACTCCAAACTCCCTTGTTCGACTTCACCTTCTTTCTTACGCAGAGTATTCCGAGTCTAAAATTTCAGTCTGATTTTTTACTCGGCTACGTTCTATTATATATTAGCGTTTGTCACTCACACGTGATCAAAAACCGCATCAGTTTCCACAAACATTATATAATTTTGAAGTTAAATTTGAAACTGTTTTTGACACATTCCACACTTCTCTTTGCTCGGACATATGATGATATAAATGACATAAAAACGCCAAAAGATTAAATGTTAAAACAGTAAAGACATTTTGAACGCAAAATTTTGATATTAAATGTTGTCCTATTTTAATAATCTCTTCGCTTCTCTGATCTCAGGTCTCCTGGATGAGGAGCAAAGACTTGCATGTCCTTACCGTGGCGGATTTGCTCTTCAGCTCAGATCCGCGATTCGGACTTCAGCACACGCCAGGCAGCGACGCCTGGACTCTCAGGCTGGATGACGCCAGAAAGACGGATTCTGGCAAGTACGAGTGCCAGGTCAATACGGAACCGAAGATCATGTATGCAGTGCAGCTTTCTGTGCGAGGTGATTGTCGTTCCACTTCACATTTCGTACTTTACATATGCTTGTCACACGACGATTTACGATAGAATTTCGACATTTTCTTTTTTATCCGAAATCGCAAGCTTTATTCCAACTTTTGTGAAAAATAATTGAATATCTTCACGGAGAGAACAGCGTGCAACGACATAAAACTAGAATATGTATATTTAAGATATACGCAATATATCTATATTTCTGAAATTAATTTTGAAATAAAATGCAACAAGAGTGACATATCGCTCACACAGTGTATTGTGTGAAATAATGTGTGACAAATGTGCGAATAAAATAATATTAGAATTGATATTAGAATTGGATTACGATTCTTTCTTTTGCGCTTCGCGATGATACGACGTCTCGTCATATTTCCAGATCCGGACAAACCGGAGGGCTACGACGAGCCGCATTCTCAGCAGACGCGTATAAGTAAGTATACACCACGCGTGGACGCGTGACGTGTATTTCTGGCCTGCGCGCTTGTGACACACACATGAGCGTGACGTTCCTTTAGTTCCGTTGTATGCTGATCGAATCGTTCGTGTATTTAAAGAGACGACTGGAACGTTCCTATTAACATTAAATAGACTGTGCCGGTAATAGCGATGAGAATTTCAAAGGGGCAAATTAAACTCTGTTAACTGGAGGATATCGTGCACATATTACGATTTACTATAAAAGCTTCACTTCCGCGTAAAATACATCGATGAAGATACGATTCATTTGATTCACATGTGGAGAAATTTAAATTTCATTATTTACAGATTCGCGAAACCGCGTAAATTTCACTTTAGAAAATTATTATTAAATCTCATATTATGAAACAATTGGAATTAATTAAAAATTTATATGGTCGCATGCACATTTGCATTTTGTTGTGATTCTAATTTCACTGACGCTGAACTTATTTCACCGTCTGTGATATCAGCGATAATATTTTGCGCAGCCTTGCATAATTAATTTCCCGCGTAATCAGCATTACCCGAATCGAGTGTACAGAGTGTGTATAAAATGGGGCGTCTGTATCGCACTGAAATTATATCATGCAAATTATTTTATGAATTTCTTGATCGGCACGGAAACTCGGACAAGCGTGCAATTATGCAATCAAAACTTTGTCGAAAGTTTTGCGGATCACGGTTCTTAGATATAAGACGCATTCCCTTCTTTTTTCCTTTGCTTCTTTCAAATCCATCCATCGTTTTTGCATTTTATCGGCATGCGCGCTACGGATGATGAACGTAATAAAATACGCGCGGTGAACATTACTTGGCAATAAAAATTTGCGCCGATATAAATCTGTAAAATGCCCTCGGGTGCGAAGATTGACCCAGTTACCAAGGGATTTAAAAATATAACTTTCATCGTCAGCGACTGGCAATTTCCGCTTTGTTTTACCACTCGGAAAGTAGCGGAACCGAAAGCACTGGTTGAATCGTCGTTAAGATTGCATCAGTCGGAAAAAGCGCGATTAATCAGCCGCTGGGTAGAGCGCTAAGCTTACTGATAATTATCAAGCGAAGAAAGCGCGATTTCTTGTAATACAATCATTACAAATGTAAGGTATCACTGTCGCCATTAATTCTGTTTTTCGTGTTTCCCACACCCGCGACATTGGTAACACGAGTAACATGAGTAATGCAACTAGTACTGCAAGGAATCGTATTTATTGATTATCGAGTCATTCGTGTTGTCTGCTTTACAAATTTAGATTTTAGCGAACCTCTTTTGTGTATTACACTTTCATTATCCATTTTCGTTTATCTGTCGATCATATATTGTATTATAATACACGAGTTTAATTTACGACCGACATGTTTTATTAATGTGCAAGTCATTATTATTTATTTTCGTGAAAATGAAGGACTTGAAAGCTTGTTTAAAGGTGACCATATTGGAAATTATCTAAACATATGTTAGCTATAACCATATTGGAAATCTGACCTGTACACAATAGTTCGCGCCATAGGTGGGAGATTACGTTGAGCTCTTACGACTAGCATTACAACGTATGTTCAAAACTTGCGCGATGCCTGTTTACCGCTTTAGTCGGCGGCGAACTTTTGAACGGGCAAACAGCGTTATTTCTGTTGTTCGCTGTAATACTCTATGAAACTCGAGCAAGTGGGTGTATTATATGAAAGTTTATTACTAGATCTCTGCATAGCGTACGCGTATAAGCCGCGAAAGCGTTTCGAGTCTAATTCGCATATTGCCAGTGTTCGATATTTCAATAATTTGCCGAAAATAATGTTCACACACGTGTAAACCATCGCTTCAAAACTATTTGCAATTTTCTTGCAAACCTCTCCAAATATACAAATATGAGAAATATTGCAAACAAAAGATTAAAGATAAACTATTGAAAGAAAAAAATTAAAACAGAGACTGTTTAAAATATGACGAAAGTACTATATGCAAGAAATAATAATTCTGTCGTCACATTTTTCATAAATACACCAAGAAACTTTAACGCGTTCTCGTCGCACCGTTCGAATATCCTTCGAAAAATCATTAAAACCAGCTTTTTATTTTTCCTACGGAACCAAGTGACATCAATCACTTAAGGATAAGTGCGACACCGTTCTGGCTTTGACGCTCGTGATCCGTCGTCGTCGATTCTTCTTGCGAACTTTCTTCAGTCGCTTCATAATTCTTTTTAAGTAACGTCGTTTTATTTCAGACATGTCCTTTCTCTTGACGCCTTCGACGTATCTGAATTTACGCTTTTTCATTTACGACGAAACGAGAGATTACAGAGGAGCCACATTCCTTAGTCGGAACTCAAAAAGCTTCGATAAAATTCGCAAGCACGATGCGCAATGCGCGATACACATCGCGTTTCTCGATTTCTTCTTAATCTTTATTTGTTTTTAATTTTTAGGTAAAAAAAATCTGAACAAGTTTAATTATTTCTCGCGATATTAAATATGCTTCGAGCTCCCTTCCATCAACCTAATGGGAAAGTTACGACCATGAATATATTTCTTTTCACATCACTACGTATTTCCGCTCAGAACACTCCGCGCAGTTTCACTCGGCTAATAAATATACTCGCGCCAAGTTTCTTCTCGCTTTTGTTCGCGATATATGCAAGACTTAAAGATGGTCACAGATCGCTGCCAGCTATATTGTCCAAGTTTTGCAACAGATAAATAAGGCGAACAAAGCAAAGGGAAAATACGCACCCCGCGTATGCGAATAATAATGTAACATAATGGTAACTCGGTAAATTTCGTTCTCGTGCAATCATGCTTGCAATACATATAAGTATTATTGTATTGTAACGTTTATTTGATCGTAGCAAGCAACGTTAGATAAAATAATAAAACAACCATTAAAAAAAAAAAAAAAAAAAATTTATCCAAGTTATAAACATGTACAATGTATATCGACATGTCGAATTTAAGTTGAAAGATTACAACTCGGAGAGTGCTGGCGGATCATGAGAGAATTTATCCACAAAGTTTCCGGTAACAAAAAGGTGAGCAAGACCGCGCTCAGGAAAGAAACGTCGGCGAGCGAGTTTACAGTAATAACAGCATAACATAATATTTCGCTAGAGGGAACGCAGTCGTCGCCGGATTCATTTAAGTCTAATAGGATTATCCTTAATCCTGCGGTCCCGTAGCGCGGCTTCTTCGTATCCTTTTCTTCGTCGGCGAGAGTGCAGAGTTCAGAGTTCTAAGGGATAGGAGTGGCCCACTAAATGAGTCTCGACTGCGGTCCTCTTGCTGAATAATGTATATCGCGCCTCTCGATATTTTTATACAAGGCAGAGAACTCCACTTTCGACCATTTTCCTTTTTCCCTTCGAAGATAATGATGAATTATTAATCTATTCAGAGAGAGCTTGCGTCAATGGGGCCAAGATCAACCACGAAAAATATTAACATTAATACGTTTTATTATGAAATTTATTTCAATTATTCTAATTGACGTGAAACTATCTTTAGTATCTCAACTCTTTGCTTATTATCTTGTTTTTTTCTTTTTCTTCTTCTTCTTCTTCTTCTTCTTCTTCCTCTCCTTACGTATAAAACTATATCCTGTTTTTTCATCGTTGTTCAGTGTAGTCTTGTTCAAGTTACCAAGCGTCGGCGACCTCTCGCAGATGTACAAATGAGCATCTAGGATCTAGGATCTAAAATCTACAAACACTGTTTCGCATATTGCCAGCCTAGAAGAAGCGATCGTAGGTCGCTTTATTTTCGTATGATGATGGGAATCGAACCCGTTTCACTAACGCGCTAGTAAAAAGCCACGGTTGCGATATTTATTACCTCACGATAGTATAAACATTCTATTACTAGGATTTGCGTATTTAAGTTTAAAAAAGATCAGCATAATACGGATGGTAGCTGTGTATAGATGCACTATAAAAAAAACCTGAAACTTTCGTTATATCCGGCAACTAAGTTTGTAACGGAATGCTCTCTCGCAATTTATCGTATGTGTAATGAGGAACCAAAGAGTTTTCAAGGCGGGGTAATTTACGGTACACTTTGTAAAGGCCGATGCACACAGTGGCGCGGCGGCGGCGGCGACGGCGACTCGCGTATTAAACGAGTACTTGTCCCTGCTTTCTAAATTAAAATGTACAAGCTTGACAGTACTTATATCTATGTGTGAGCGTGTCACTATGTTTTTTGCTACTTCAGCGTACTCTACTTTGTGCCGCGTCGGCGGCGCAATGGAAGTGGATATAACGCTGGCATTAATTAAAATCATTGCATAACATTTGTCGAGTGCCCTTGATGGCGCGCGCGTGCGCACTAAAACGCCCGGTTCTTGCGTTCGCCGGGCGCTTCGCTTTCTTTTCGCCAGGGAGGAAGGTCTAGTGCGTTAATCCCACGTTCGTCGGGATATTAAAACCGAGGACGGATTGCGTCAATTAGAGGGTATTCACGATACATCACGCTCGCTATGACGCTGTCAATTAAAAAGTTGTAAATCCTTTTGCATGCGTCGCCGTTTGTTCGCCGCCTCGACATCGCGAGTCTCGCCGGGATTTGATGAAAGCCTCTTTATATGAATTAAAGTAATGCATATAAGTACTTGAAAATATTCCTTTTTGCGTTTATGCATTTACATTAACTCTAATGGAAAGTAAATATTCATTATAGTAAAGCTCTGGCTAAATTGTTATCATTGTGCGTTATACGCTGTTGTTTGTATCTCTTCTCACGTTTGATTAAAATATACAGAATATCGTAAATGTATTATCCGTTTTAGTTAGAAATTTTTTAATCAGATGGAGATGTAGTCTATTAATGTATTGTAGTTTATCAGTCAAATGCTTTCTATTAAAAAACATATTGATGTTTTATAATTAACAGCAGGGGCGAATTTCCCATTAGGCTGGATAGGCTATAGCCTAGGGCGGCAGATTTTAGGGGGCGGCAAATTTTTAATTTTTGAATTAAAAAAAATTTATTAACACTCGATTTATATTCAAAATACATTCTGATTTTCATCAAAAGAGTCATAATATAAATATGTTCGTGATCATTACTGTTAAAGAGTGTATAAAGTGCTATTTTTTCCGGCGTTTTCGGCGAAATTTATTTCCTGTTTTTCTCCTCCAATTCTCAACCGATTTTGCTGAAATTTTTTCTTTAAGTTTTTTTAATATTAAACATTTTTTTACGTTTTTTACATTTCTGGCTTTATATGCTCGGGGTAACATTAAATATCATAGAAAAAATGTCAACAAAATCGGTTGAGAATTGGAGGAGAAAAAACTGGAAACGCGCGCGCGCGAGAGAGAATGTGTTATTTATTATTATTCAAAGAATCCTATATATAAGATATCTGTTTTCTATTTTATTATCTATTTCTTATTTAATTAATAAAAAAATTTCCCCTTGCTCCACTGTCATTAAGGGGCGGCAAATTTGATTCAGCCTAGGAGCGGCAGAAACCGAAATCCGTCCCTGATTAACAGCATCAACGACCACATAACTTTTAATGCAAAAATATTACCGTTAAAAATACATTTACAAAGTAAATAATATAAAAATACACATCTAAATAAAATTAATTATTTCCGCAAGGCTACATTACACTTTATGCGAAAAATTTGACATACCAAAACTTTTACACGAGATGTATAATAATATTTTAATATGTGTACGCATTGGCTCTTATAGAACGTGAAAAACAGCGTACTGCTTTTGAAGCAGAGCAGCTAAGGGATTCGAGTTGCATTTCCGTTTCGAGTCAAGATCCTATCCGACGAATCTTTAGACTCGATTAGGAAACTCGCCGGCGCGTCGTATCACTTGAGCCGCCGGATATGCGCGTAATCTCGTCACGACGCGGTCATTCAATTGCTTCAGCCATCGCATGATATTTGTCCGAACATGACTTCCAGGTTATGAGAGCACAGCGCCGGTGGCGGACATAATGGGTCCCCAGGAGCAAAGGGTGCCGTCGGGCTCGACGATCACCCTGAGGTGCGTCATATTGTCGCCGTATCAGACCCGTCCCATCAGGGGTGTACAATGGCTTCGGGATAACAAACTCCTAACATTCCAGGTAATGCAGCCTCAGCTGGATACGCGCGAGCGCTTTAATGAAATTTCTGTTTGACGACCGGGAATCGGGAGAAGGTCGGAAAAGGGAAAAAAGGGGCGCTCGTATATCATCAAGCGCTCGACGCGAAGAAATATGGGTCGTACGGCCCCTAAAATGTGTCTTCCACATTTCTGTTTGCGTGGTAAGCCTGCGTCGGCTGTTTCTTTCGCGCGATACGTGAGTGACGAAACGATGGCTGGGGGCTGATCGATTTGGCAGTCGACGCGGTTTTGTCATTGCGGCTATGCGCGATTATCTCGCTCGGTTGATGCTTGTCGCTTAACGTGTCTTTCGAAACATCAATCTCAAACAATTTTGCTGATTTTTTTCGCAACATTTTCTTTCTGTTATTTATAATTTGATGTTAGAAGAACTTTGCATTTTAAAAATATTATGTAAAACAAAAGTACAGATCTGAAAAATCATAATATGTGTTAGAATCGCTATAGACAACGTCCAACGCTTTAATCTTAATCCTAATCTTAATATTCTCAAAATATTATGATAAGATATTTTTGAAACGGCAAAATATTTATATATCAAATGCCATTAGTCCTTTGGATAAATAATTTGTCACTCGATGCACACATTTCAGTTTACTATTACATCGCTTTAATTAATTCATTTGATTAATTTACGAATATTTTTGTGATACATTTATACATAGCATGAATAATAATTCGAATTTGTTCCATTGATGCAAGTGTTAACGAGTACGCTTATATTCATTGATGCACATAAAAATACAGATTTGAATAGAAATAATGAGAGCTCAGCTCATGCATAAAATCATGATACGAGAGATACAGAAGCAAAAGAACTGATATTCTTTCGAATTCTTTCAAAAATATATAATGTCACGCGACAAAACTAATGTATGGAGTTTTCACGTTTAATATTATATTTTGAGATAAAAAGGTACTGACAAAATCTACTGCAATCTATAAGATTGCGATTTTGAAAAACGAGAAATATGAATTTCGCTGTTTTATTACTCAAATAAATATTTAAAAAATTTCCTTTTCTTTTATCGTAGAATTCACTTGTTTACTCTCTATCTAGACACGCGGAGGGATAACTGTGGAGACCGAAAAGGGTGCGGCACGTACAGTATCCGTGTTAATTTTGGCGCCGGTGACGCAAGATGACATCGGAAACTATTCATGCAGACCGACGGAGGGTCGATCAGCGACTGTCACCTTACTCGTTGAAGAAGGTAAGCCTCAGCACTTGCGCGAAAATATTGTAATAAAACAATAAACTCTAGCAACGTTTATAAATCATTTGGCTACGACATTCGCTGTGCACTTATACATACAGTTTGTATCCCATTTTCCTTTTTGTAAAATATATTTATTTAAAGCAATATTGTGAAAGTTACAAGACTAATACGCGAAACAGTGGATAAAGTGTACAAAAGTATGTCAAATATATTTTACGGAACGTAATGATATAATAACAGTGCACACGTCTCACAATCTTCCGGGAAATCTCGCTGTCGCCGGATGTGCCACGACCGTAGCCGGAAGCCCATCGCGGGCGCACCGATATTCCATTTCCTTCTACGCTTGCGTGTATCCTCCGCGGGGTACAACCATGATGTAAAGTCGTGCCTTAGGATTACTCGAAACACTTTAAAGTTTTAAAGAGGCGGCGGTATTTCACGCTGGAGCTATTTGTCTAGCTCAGCCCCTCGGTCGCCACGATAGGGATGAAAAGGAGCGGAAGGGGGGTGGAAGGCGAGCGGGGTGAGGGGATGAGGGGAGTTGGTGGAAAAGACGGAAGACCGCTCGCTCGGGCGCGTGTACTCCTGCGCGAGACGAAAGACGGGGGGATGTCCGAGGGACAGGAGGAACGAGAGGAATCGCGGAAGGAGAGAAATTGCGGTTCACAGGTAGAAGGACGGTGACGAAGAAGGAGTAGAGTTTGAGAGAAAGAAAGAAACTTGCGAAGGTAAGCGGCGGTATAAGCGGAGATCCTTCGCGTTTTCTTTCTCCTCGTTCAAGCTTATTGTAGAATGAATGTCCTTTTTTCACTTTTATCTCTTTAAAATTGAGAGAATAAATATGAAATCAAAGGAAAGAAAAAAATGAAAATAAGACAGTCCCGAGAGCAAAATAAAACGGACAAAAGATGGAAGAAAAAAAACTCTAAACTCTTTTGGTTTTCTCTTCCTCTCACCTTCATACCGCGCATTTTTGGCACATTTCTCATTGTCATTGTGGTGAACACACACACACACACACACGCGCGCGCGCGCGCGCACGCACACAGATTTAGACATGACTTCTCCGGATGTCATATCTGTTTCCTTCCCGAAATGTCGAACCTCTCGATTTTTCTTCGCGTACAGCAGTCGCCCAAAAACACAGACTGAGAGGAAAATAATGTAACAAAGTGAAAGTACGGAAATTATGGAGACATCAGCTGGAACTGAACAAGTGTGTGAGAACGCGCGTCGGCTGAAATGAAACGAATGGCACGGAAAAGGATGAGAATCCGCGAAAGAGGTGTGGGAGACAGACACGAAGGGATCGCGGGGACACTTGTATGCGAAATTCACGTGGGTAGTCTCTATTATCGTGAATTTCCCTTCGGAGGTTATTGCGAGGAAGCACCCGTGGCGCGCATTTTTCCCAGGCAAGAGTAACACGGCGTGTGTGCACGGCGCCATGCACGCGTGTGCGTCACATGCGCTATCTGTCCCCGTGTCTATCCATACATGGAACGCTCCCCGTGCGAGTATAAATCAGAACTTAGGCGACTCGCGGCCTCGTAGATTGCGGATTTACGCCGGTTTATGCCGCGCTCGAAGGAAACTGCCGCCCGCGCGTAACTAAGCGGAGTGCATCGTCCGATTTTTACGAGCGCGTATCGACGTAAATATCGCGAAAGGTGTGCAAGTGAATATCACGGATATTCACCGTATAACGGTAGGAATGAGATAGCATTGAAGAATGTTGCCAAGTATAAAATAAAGATGTTATCTATATACCGTTTCTTGCTTTTATCAAAATTTTCCTGAAATTATTGCCAATTGCAGTTTAATGTCTAAAATTTCATTCACTTTATTAAAGTTGTAATAAATAATTTGCAAATCATGGAATATTATTTTCTAAAGGAATAAAGATTATGAAAAGAAAATTACGATAAGGACGCTTTGTAATTTGACTCTAATAAGAGTTTATTACATTTTAATAAAGCTATGAGGCAACAAAAGCATAATAATATCATACTCTTGACGTAGCTCGCGTGAAATCTCTTATTATTATTTATACGGTCGTAAACATGGTGTAAATACTGCAAAGTTATGACTCCGTGTACGATCCTCATGCATGTCGGAGTAAATCTCCGAGAGAATATAGAATTAATTCGTTGCGTCGGACCGAGCAACACGTATAAATTGTACATTTATTCGTTACGGCGGTACTTAACGCGTGTAGGTGCACCTACATGCTAAAAAAAGGCCAAGTAATTAGATACCTATTATTTCAGCCTGGTTTATTAGCACAATGTACAATTGCGTAATGTGTATGAAATCGTAGCGACGCGTAACTTTTACAATATGCGAACTTGTTGAGGTGCAAAAGGCATCGCAAAGAAGAACGGAAAAATTGCGCACACGGCGCATAGAGGAGACCGCGTATAAATTTACTCGCATGCATCGCGAAACTGAATTTCCGCCTGATTGCGAGTCACTTTGCAATAGCACTTCACTCTCACGTGTATATATACGTGTACGCGTACGGTACATCAACCGCAGGCATGATACGTAGCCGCGCGGTCGCGCGAGAGCCGCGGACGATAAATCAGAAGTCCGGCCACTCGTTTTCCAGTTTTGCAGATTGCGAATTCGCGCGGTTTATCGGCACGGACGAGCTGAGTCCGAAGGAAGTGCCATTGCGACGGGATTAAACGGGACAACGGGCAGTTTTATGAGCGCGCCTGCATGAGAATATGCACCACCGTTGGCGCAAACATCGTGTACCGTTAAAATGAAATCAAAATTACAAATGCAAATTTTCGTGCTAATTAACAAAAATGTAAAACGATAAAATTGAAAAAAGGAAAATGCAATCGAAGGTTTGTTTCAACTCCTTAGCCAATGTATACCATTTTTTGCTATATATGTATGTTCGATTGCATTCAAAATTGCGAATGCAATCGCGTATTGTTAGTGTAAATATTTCCTACAATTTTTTGAGATTGTCCAAACCAGTTGAAAAATTGTTTCAAAAGCAGCGCACGGTTTGGCCGTACAACAATATCGATTCGGCAAGATTGTATGAAAACTTTATCTTCAATCTTATCAAGACGGTGGCAAGAAAACTTTTCTTTGCTGCAGGGATAGCTAATAATTGATCATTCCGCAATTAATTATCGATGGCGATAATCGAGACTTAGATGATAATCATTCTCAAGATCAGAGAGTTTGAATTTAAAAGTCTTAAAAAATCTTTTATATATCGGCGATATACGTACTATATATATATATATATATATATACGTATATCGCCGGATAAAGTTCCAAGTTCGCGCAATGAATCCACGGCGAACACAATATTTTATTGGATTTTATTGGAACGGACGTTGATTCGATTTAACAATTTGGCGGGCGCGTTCCGAAATATGAAAGAGCCTCGCGAGAATACGGGTTAAAATGCATGTCGGAATGTTTTCGCATGAGCTTTCGGCTCAGACAATCGATAGGTATTTATCCCTCGAAATAATAAACGACTACCCTGCTGCTAATTAGAACGCGCAAATGAATTGGCAGTGGATAATTAATGAAAGTTAATTCCTTTATTTATGAGCTCCAGGAAAGATCTGCATCCACTCTCACGCTCAACTTTTATTAATTATCCATTGCTAATCCATGTCGATATTTTAATCATTGCAGATTGGCCGCTTATTATTTCGAGGGATGAATTCATATCGATCGTCTGAGGTAAAAGAGCTTCTCGTGCTTTTTGTGAAATATTCAAAAGTTATCGAGTACTAGCTTTCCAATGCAACCGTGATACGAAAATTCCTATCTTTTACCTTGGCAACGTTACTAAATCACAAGAGGCTGTCGTATATATAACGCAGGCCCTTCATCATCGCATGCGTCACATCCTCGAGTATCTGCGAACGTTTCTACCGAACGCTCGCGCGGCAAGAAGCGCCATTTGCGCGCGATTTGTCGAAAGCGGCGCGGGATTTAACGACTTTTGAGGAAGCCAATGCACATTTGCACGCAAAAACGTCTCGAGTGCAGTGCCAGTCCGCCGCGGCTGATGCCGGCTTTTTGCGTCGGCTTACGTCGCGGGGGAATGGGCTTTGGCGGCCGTCTGAGCTAATTCTTATGCGATCGTAAATAATGTCGCGCATATATCAAAACTTACAGCGACTTCCCATCCCGGCGTAGTTGCAGTCGCCATCTCCCGCGGCAGCCCTGTGTCTTACACCCGTTCCACCTGCATCTCTTGGCTCCACCCTCGTCGCGTCTCCTCGTCCAAGACCCAAGTCGCGTTTCCCCTTGACCATCTTTTCCCGTCCTTTCCCGTCACTTAGCGGTGGCTTGTCCGCCAACGGCACTTATGGCCCGCCAGATTAAAGATACAATTCCGCGATTCTATTAATTAAGAAAGTTAATTACGCCGAAATTTAATTTTCCTAATTGCACATTCCCGAGTTTTCGCGCCGCTTGCGCGGCTAGCAATGATAGGATCTTGCCCTGTCTGTTCGCGAAGCTATCCAGCTACATCCAGAATAGGCGGAGAGTGCCCAGAGAGGTTGAGAGTTCCGTCAAAAGTTCTCTCTCTCTCTCTCTCTCTCTCTCTCTCTCTCTCTCTCTCTCTCCCTCTCTACCTCTTTTAATTTTATCATCTCGATTCAAGCATGGCTCTTCATTTCTTTTGTTTTGTTTTTTTCTTCAAGCCCATTTCACTTATGATTTTACAATTTTAAGGATGCTTTCAAACAAAAGCTAGCAAGACATATTTTAAAACGAATCTTGACACTTTTGCAACTTTTTGATCACGATTTATTAAAATATATTGCACATTCTTTATTCACGTAAAAAATACATTAAACATAAAGGAGTAAAGAATGAAGTGAAGAATGTCGCAAGAATTTCAAGCAATGTTAGCAAAATTAATTGAAATTGTTTAACAAACGATAGAAATAAACAAGTTAAATGTGCTTCCGTAAATCGGGACGTACCGTGCCGCCGTAGCGAGTTATGATATCACTTTCCGACATCCTACGAATCCCTGGTGCCTCGGTACGTCGCCGGCTCAGTCTAGACGATTCATGGTTACTTCCAGGATATTTTAAATATATATCGAGCACGACGGACTACGGAAGTTTGCAGGGAGTTTAATACCTAACGGCTCCCTAGACTGTCGTTTATACCAGCTCCAAACTCTCCGCTCTTCTTGGATCTCTCCCCTCTCGCTCTTCTTATCTCGCTCTCCTGTTCCTCTCGCAGCATCGTGTGTCCTCTTAACGCGCGATATTATTAAATTTTGTACCCAAAATATCCGCGCGAAGTGAAATCCGCGAGACTCGGTTCCGTTTCGTTACATCTCTTCGTCCGTTGTCCATATCCGTCCATATCCGATGAGAGTTTTTAATCCTTTCGGCAGGCTTTCTAACAAAGTAACCTATACAACATCTTGTTTTCTAAATGTTTTCAGGAACATTGAATTCTCATTGAATAGATTGCGATCTTAGAATTCCAAAATTCAAAATAAGATTTTATAAAAATTTTGCAATCTTAAAAACAAACCCAAAATCGAGTTTCAAACTAATCTAATTATTTTTTTTTAATTCGGTCCGCCTTGATGGATCTGTCATTTTAAATTTTGTGTTATTGACCTGAGATTTGAATAAAGCATCAACAAATAGTCTTATAGGCCAAGTTTCATGAAAATCGAGCGAGTAGTTAAAGAAATAAAAAGGGAGTGTCCTCTATAAAGGACGCTCGCGTCCCAGAAAGCGTTAAACTGCAGAATCTACCTATATTTTGTTTGTCACAACGCGCTCTATAATAGATGAGATCGATCCACCAACCCAGTTAAAACGCTCGTAGTGTAGTAATCGTAGATTATAACGAATCGATAAACGGATTTAAACTAGGTTCTTATAATCCTATAACATTTTTATTTACTACACAAAGCCACTGAAAATTCCATGCGTTAATCTGTCCGAAATCGTTAGTTGAAAACCAAAATATTCATTTTCTAACGCATGCACGCAAAACGTAGAGAAAGCGACGAAGCGCGTATCCATTAACAAAGTATTTCCATTTTTATGCAACTTGATATTTTTTTATCTTGCCTTGGACGTAACTCTCTGGAGCCGGCGGACAGTTTCCGAGACAATGTCTAAGGAGCTGCTAAAAGCGGGCGGATGGGCTAAAGTGCAACTTGCTCGTGAACTTCCAACGCTCGTAAATCATTATGATTTTGCGCGGCTATAATGCAAACATGCTCGCACTTATTATACGCTGATATAGGTGCTCGGTGAAAAAATCGGGTCAGCAGTTCCATAAACAGTACATGTAATTCAAAATACAAGAGCTCAGAGACGGTCATTGCGGTTGTCCGATAATTACATAATTATCGGTTCGTAATATTTATCAATTACCTTTGCATAATTCACTGTAGTATGCCGACATATTATGGCTTTTTAATCAATCGCTCTCATACGACGATCGTCTTCTCTCTCACAAGATCTCTTTAAAAAAAATTATTGACACTCACGAGGGAAATTATTATACCCTTACCGGACCACCATCGCAGATTGAAAATTAATTTTTAATTTCGCACACTCACTTAGCCCGATAATCAATCCTGTTATAATTAAGCGTGTGTTATTTTATAATATACTGCAGTTAATTTTTAGAGGAGCTTAAATACAAAAACGGTGCAGAATAATAAAAGGCTGGAATATTTGAAAAACAAGATTAATGGAAAATTGCAGTGCAAATTTTAATGAGAAAATGAATACCTGAAAAGTTATAATTATTTATCAAGAATTGTCCGTAACACGTTCTAACTGTGTGTATCCTACATTTATTAAATCCTAGTAAGCAAAGAATTTTTATAATTTTGATTTTCGAAATTATATTTGATATTTATTTATAAATATATTTACAATTATACACTTTTATAGTTTAAATTTTCGAGAATAGTAGTAGTTTTTCATTTTCAATGATTAAAAATATTAATCTTTTTATCATGTTTAAGCAAAGTAAGTTATAACAATCTTGATAATCTTATCTTTACAAAGTATCGACTTTATATCCACTCAAATTATTATGAAAATTGATATCACGACTTAAAACAGTTAATACATCCAAGCATATATCTGTGCATCATTTGCTTTCCCAATTGTCCATGCAGGAAGTGTTAAGTAGATATCGATCGTCAAATGTTATCGTATACACAATCACAAACCACCGTATATCCTATGATAGATCGCGGTGTTCTGAGGTATAGATTCATCACACGTGCAAAGATTTCACTTCCGCTTTAACCGACGTCGCGTGCAAGTACGACGCGTATGCGTGCCACGTGCCGGGACACGCGTGTCGCATTCCCAGACTCGATCACATGTACGACGTTTACGGTGGTGGTTGCAAGCACGCCTCTATCGGGCGTGCGATTCATACGGTTAATGACGCGGCTTTCGTACGAATACCTGATCGGGCGCATACCCGACTGTACGCAGGTATGCTTCGCCGGCGTATTGTCGCCCGAATTCTGGAGATCGTCATTGATTATGATACGGTCGATCATTATCGATCCCCATCGAATTCCGCGCTACCGATAATTAGCCATTTATCACATAAACTATACATTTCGATCTAATGTATAGGAACTGACAGCATCAAATTTTCAACAGGTTGTTGTCGAGAAGAGTTTGAAAATGTTGCTAGTTTTAGATCTACATGTAAATTTAAAAGGAATATGTATTTAAGGAAAATATATTAAAACAATTAAAACAACAATATATTAAAACAACTTACAGGTTGTAGAAATTAAATTTATATTTGTAGCAGAGTGATGAAATAATTTAATAATAAGAGGATATACATGGCCAATACCATAATACCATATTCAATCAGAGAGCTAGATTTACATCTTGTAATGTGTAATATTATTTATATAAAAAATTAATAATAGTGAAAGTACATATAAATATAAATTCGGATGTTGATGAGATATCGATACTTTGAAACAGAATACAGAATAGTTCATCAGTACGTCAGCCAGCATGGCTGTCTTGTGCGGTCTGTTACTACTGTCTGCCTAAATCAAGTGTTATTCTACTGGCTATTATACTATAACATACATATAATTAAAAATTAATTTCAAATAGATAGATCCTTTTTCAAATCTTGAATTAAGGAAAAACCCACCGGTTTCCAGCGAATGGGCAAAATACGCGACAGGACCTAAGCTTACGGCGGCTTAGACGGGCGACCTAACCTTCATGATCATTATTTAGCAACATCATTATTTTCAATTATACTCTGAAAGCAATCAATATTGTCTTTCTCGAACATCGTAAGGTAACATAGCTCGCATCAAGCGAGTCCGAGTATCACAAAGCAGAGGTATATCTGCCGTTAAAGGATCAACGTTACGTAATCGGGGAGGAAGTTGTTAAAAGAGTAATTTCAGGAAATAAAGTACCTCTTATTGGTTCTTCTGTAAAGTTCAGCTTTCGTTTCCGTTAATGGCTGTAAAGAACCGTAAAGACGCGAAGGCGCGAATCTAAGCCTTGGAATCTATGCCTCAAAGAGCCACGACGACCGGAATTAAGATTTCTTCGTTATTAAAGCTTTAACTGCTTTCTACACTGATCAGCGATCGAGTACAGATGCAGATCTCGATGCGCAAATGGAACGCAAAGTGAATTTCGAGCGAGATCAAAGCGCGAAACGCTTTTCCTTTATTCCCACCGCTTTGCTGACGCCGCCAAGTAATTTATGTACGCGATAGCAGCTCGCGATTGAAGTATTTACGGCTCTTTCAGACTTCCCGCGACGTGCGGTCATCGCTGTTGGCGCCTTGCTGGAAATATTGCGGATTGAATCTTGGCGAAGCGTACCGTTCTTACGTAAGCACAGCTGAATGCGCTCGACGTCACGTGTGCGAAGCATGTTCTTCAGCGCACCGGGGGATGTATCATTTACATCGTACAGTGCGCGGAGAGTTTGAGCGCCGCCGATATTTTTGGGATAATATGCAGATGTCAGATATCAGATCATTTGCAAGTGCACTGTGCGAGGTCAAACTGTCGTGTGCAGAGAGTTTGCTAGAGAGTTTGCTAGAAAGTTTGCCAGAGAGACTGATTACTTTTAGTTGAGCATAAAAAAGTAATAATCTATTGCTCAATTTATTGGAATATTTAGTAAAAATAGAAATGAAATTGAATTGAAAATTTGATTCTGCTAACATCTCGTAGAATGATTGCAGAGGATCTTTACTGTGGATCCAAAACTGCTGTTCTGAAAATTTCGCATCGCTGGCATCTGCGATGCAAATTGCATCACTGTGAAATCGATCGTCGCAACATTGTATTAAGCTTAAACAGCGAAGAATGAAGAAACGGCACAGGAACGCGTATCGACATCCCTCAAACAACGCAATAATTAATGGATCCCTTGTAACACGAGAAAACCCATAATCCCGTAATCTTGGAGCGACATTGATTTACGAGTTGTGGGCGGTGTCATTATTCTCAAAAAGTATCAAGATTTCCGACGTGCGATATCCAGATTCAATATCGTAATATGGCAATTTTTCAACGTCTGCTAGGCGTTTTTGCCGACATGACACTCATTAGATGATATCGCGTGGAGCCGCGTTAATTTGATATCGCACTCGTAAATATTCATACGATTACGAGCGCGATACAAAGACGGCTGACGAGTGTGGTACTGACACTTGATTCTCCTTTTTTGCCCCTTTCTGTTACAGGGGAACGTACGGAAGCCATGCAACGTGACGCCGGATACGTCTCCTCCGGAAGTGACGTCAGGCACTGGCCCGGACTTTTGCTTCCGTTTTCGTGGCTTCTAATACTCGCGCGCAACAGCCAAACTTTCTTGCTCTAGCACACATCCGACAGTATTTCACGCTTATTTCTTGCCGTTTCCAACGTTGAAATGTATCAAAAATGCGACCAAGCCGATTTAGATCGTAAGGTAGACTTGTAGATCCCACAAGTAAAACATATTTGAAAATTGTCTGGATATGCCAGGCGCGATACCAAGATAGTGTGTTGTATGTACAAGTCGTTGTAATAAATTTATAATGCAGGGATTAATGCGGTCCAGTAAATAATTAATATACGTATTGTTATCAATAATTGCAGACGTACAAACACGTACAAACAAACATAAACGTACAAACAAATATAAAATCATAAAGTTCGAGAAGATTAAGATATTCAAAAATTGTAGCAATTGTGTATCGTAGATAAAATCTTGAGTAGGAACTGTAACGAGCTGCAATACCGACAGTCGAATCTACAAATTGTATCACGATTGATAAATTAGATTAGCGAGTAATAATAATTAAATTAATCAAATAATATAATTGCTTAGTGTATAATGCGAACGAGGCACTGAGTAGGATAAAGAAATAGCATGGAATTTTCACGAATTTTCTTTGCTAATTAAAGCACAAAAGAAATCGTACATCTATTCAGTTCTCTTGATCGCATTATCAGATGACAAGTAGTTTGAGGGAATTTAATGCAAATGGTGATGGGAAAATAAAGATAAAATGTCCTGTACAGAATTCCTCTCGTGTTATCCTCTAAATTTAACTTTGCGCGCAAATAATTCATTAAATGACCTGTGATACTCCATTGGATCTCAATGTTCCGGAATGTTCTTTTCGCCCTCGCAATTCACGGTGTTTCTTTGAGCGCAGCTCTTAAAGTCAATGGGATTAAAGTAACCGCGAAGCGCCAAAGAATACGGAGGTAATTTGATATCATGTATCCTGCTACATCCATTCGTTCGAAGGAAGACGCGGAGAATACGTCATGAATTTCATGAAACTCTGACAAATAAGTACCCACCCTGTGTGTGCCTGTGTTGTACCATTTACTTTGTCAATGTTGCTCATGTATAAATTTCCAAGAAAATTGTCCTCAAGTTATCGCAGCAAAATAAGGTACGTATTTATTTTAATTTTGTTTAATATTTTAATATTAAAAAAAATGTTATATAAAATTTTTATAATTTAATAATATTTTTTTATATTATAAGAATTATTCCTATATGTGTGAGGAGAAGGTAAATTTCTATTTAAAATATTATATAAAAATGTAATATACACGTGTAAATTCGCTGCAATTCTTAGACAATATATATTTTTACTGTAAAACATACATAACATTTTTAGCTTGATTTAATATCCAAAATATTTTTACATTATTACATGATAATATTTTTTAATTTAGAGTCTAATATAAAAAAATTGTTTTGAAAAAATAGCATGCGCGTACATATAATCAGTTTTTATTCGCTTCATGTATTGCATGGAGTAAATTCAGATGACATAATCGCTGTTGAATTATGCGTCAGCCTCTCTTATAAATATCAAATAAGACGATGTTCACTTATTCATGCTTATTCCGATATGCAAAAGAAAATCATGTCGCATACTCGAATTTGTCAAATACAGGAACGTGTGTTATAGTGGATGGCAATTTCTCTTGTCATGCGTCGCAAATTTTGAAGACATAATTCTCCCGAAATTCGCAATTCCACTGCCGCTACTACACCGTTAACACACTCTCTCTCTCTTCTCTCTCTCTCTCTCTCTCTTTCTCTCTCTCTCTCTCTCTCTCTCTTTCTTTCTCTCTATCTGTCTCTCGACGGTAGTGCTTTGATGTGTTATGAATTACAAATAAGACGGGCAAAAAGTCACAGTGTGACAGGTGAAATTACATATTTGATCACAAAGGCGAATTTCCCGCATGGCAGAAAAGACGACTGAAGAAACGGAACAACGAATGCATTACCGTGCTTTTTCAGCGTTCGACTATAGCGTACGGAGTCTTGTACACTCGTACTGCCTTTTACACGCGATAAGCTATACACGCAACGACCATAAAATACGTGTAATCGAAATTCGATGTGTGCCACTTCATTTTCTAAACGATTCAATTTAGATATGACGAAATTCGTTTATTTTTAAATATTTACTGTCGAGAAGTTGGAAAGCGAGTTACATTTTATGCTTGACTTAATACTAGTAGCTGACAATTTCATAGTTGAATGATATCTATGGACGTCGTAAAGAGGGAACGCGCCATTTACTACTAAACTTCACGCCGTAGCTGTGCGCTTCCTTTACCACTGAACGTGACGGCATGCCTCGCGGCATGTCCCATACTGCTGAATATTACTCGCTGCATTTCAAACTTAATGATTAGCCAAAACAATTCAATTTTATTCCAACACCCTGGAAATTAATACGATTAAATATAGCGTTTTTACTTTTAGCACTACGTATCGTGGAAATGCAATAAAATGTAATAAAAATAACTTAATGTGACACAGAGAAATGTATTAAATCGATACGTTATATGCTTTTTATTTGACTCTATTGACTCAATTTGAGCGTAATGTTTCTCTGATGGACTTGTCGCTTGTAATTTGACTTGAATTCAAACTGTGCCACATCTATAAATAAAAATGCGTGGTCATCGGCTGCTTCCTGTCTAGACTTGCAGCGTTTTAAAATTGGCACGCCCTACTGCGCGCATTTTACATTCAGGACATTACTTCGTGTTGAATTATTTTTCAAGTTCGGACAGGAGCACTGGTAGCAGTAGTAGTAACTCTTCCCGGACGAGGCTCCTGTCGTCCTGTCTCAGCCATCCCTCCTACTTGCTCACCGTCGCCGGAACGAATACCGGTTCAGCTTTTCTCTCAGTGTAATCGTATATAACTGTCACTCCGCAGTAAAGGTGATACGAACTGTGAAACTCCAGCCGGCTGCGTCAACGTCCAACATGTGCCTAGGTGTGCCGGGGGATTATAACATTTGCATGTCCTAAAGATTCTAATACTTTATAACAATGACGCGCTCTTTCCTCGAAGGAAATCGATCGCAAAGTTTCCTCGCAAATTCGAAATCGCAATGAAACACAAATATCGAATACGCAAGAACAAGTAATTTACGAATACTCTTTCTCACGTAAAGAGAAAGACTCTCGAGAATCTAGCAATTAATCAAATTGACTGATTCGGGCGGATGTGATAATGGTTACGCGACGGGGACAGTCGTAGAAAGAGCATGCGACGATCGCGCGTGTAACGAGGCACGATGCAATTCAAGCGTCGCGTCGGGGATCGTTAAAAGTGGCGCTTAAACGACGCTAAAGCAAGAATAAAATAACACTAAATTTACGGCGGACCGTGAATCAACATGCTTTATGATTGTTCGGGTAGCGGATGATAAAGGGCGTGAGCGCGCAGGGAACTAGCCGGCCAGGTCGAACAGGGGCTCGAACGTCCGGGTGGGGGGATGAAAATTGGAAAACTGCATTGTCCACCCGTTCTGCCCCTCTGGGACACATTCGTTAGTGGGCATCGTCCGCCGACGATAAATTTCACATATCTTCCACTTTCCCGTCTTTCACCTGCGTTCAAATTAAAGATCAGCTCGTGATCGTGATTGCTCTCCGCGCGCGATTCTTGACTGCTTTTTTCATTAAATGTTCGGACAAGTATTCAATTATCAGGATAACTCCTAGTGATACACACAGCTCATTCGTCTCGCATTAATTTGATCTAAATATAAAACCTCTATTCCGCTGACGCGCTTCCGACGCTTATGAATTTAACTGAACCAGTTTTGAAACGTGATATGATTCAATACGCGGATCTTGAGAGTCAATTTGATATTCGTGACGTCATATTTGCAATCGCGATACAGCTGAGGAACTCGGATGGAGCTAATCTTGAGAGACACAGCTTTGAGTCCTGTTTCGTGCGATTCAATACGTGACTCTTGAGGTTTCACACGAGCAACTATTCCACCTATCACGTGAACTCAATCTGAGCTGAACTATGTATATATTCGAAATGCGACTATTGAATCATCCACATGTTAAGTTCCGTTACAATGCGCTTCGCGCATTCTTAGGACGAGACTCAAGTAACAATTGTAAATGCAGTGAACAATAATATGTGCAAAATATTTAAGCTACAAAAAAGTAGCTGATTTTGAAACAAATAATTAATATAATAAATAGCATGTAATAAATTACAATCATTCCAATAATCTTCCAAGGGACAAGCTTCTTCCCACCGTAATGACAGCTTCAATGACTCAAACAAAAGGCGCTAAAAGAATCGGGAAATGTTCAGTGTCCGTTGTATTGAAATTAGAGTGAGATAGATCGTACTACCTACCTATCTACCCGCACGGATACGCACGTATTAATTGGGTCGTATGAAACACTATTGAAGCCGCAGAACATATTGATACGTTCAAATCCTGTGAGCACCGATGCGAAATTTACAATACCACACTAAAGCACATAATAATATAGAATTTCAGAATGAAACATGTTGAATTGAAAACACGCCTCGATACAACGAAACATGCACGGAATTTTATACACGGCAGCTTTATTCCGATCCGCGCCGTATGTTTTCGCGCTTGGTTTTAATGCAATTGATTTTTTAAATATATCTCATATACGCAAGTATGCTATTTATTTCTCTTGGTTCTTTTCTCTTCATTTTTTTTCCAAATTTGCTTCGTGGATCGACACGCGTGTGTTGTCGAAAGGTTTCGATAGTCGGATAGACAAACGGCGGCTAATTTTCGCAGATCCGCCCCCGCGCGTGACTCAAACAAAAAAGAGGCCGCTTTTCCGTAAAAAGTGTTTGCGATCTTGCTTTGTTAACAGGCAATTCAACTTTGTTGCTTCGAATAAACAACGGTCGGCCAAACGAATGTACCTTCCCAATAGCGCGTTCAACCTCGCTTTTAACGTCCCTTTTCACGCAAATTGCCACGAAAAGCTGAGCCAGTTAAAATGTTTACGAACGTCAAGTTTATCGCGAGGAATAAAGGCAAGCTCGAAATGCGAGTTTTCACGGGCTATTGCAATAAAGTATGGTGTGATTTTTGCCGCGCGACTCGTGAGTCTTGAAACTCTTATTTTAAACGTAGATTAAACATCGTGAAAAAATAAATCTAGTAATAATTAACGAGTTAAGGATTAACGTTAATTTTATTAAAGATTTCTGACCTGAATTTATATTCATTAATATGCGTAATGTTAAACTCTCCTACGTGATGTTGGTTCATTAATATATCTCAAAGTATAATATATATATAACCTAAGAATGTACAGAATAAAATTAACAGCGACATTAATGGATCGACGAAAGAATTTTTTTAGATTACAAGCTCTTTGCCCAACGATCATTTTGCAGTTATAAAATGCTAAAGACAAAAGAAACTTAAGCTTCCTGTTTCAACGTCATTCTGTGCAAGATAATAGAAACAGATGCTTAGATAAAATATGCATATTCTTTTCCAAACTGTATGCATATAAATGTGAGATTAGCATGTCAGATCAAAAAATGAGGTAAAAATGCTCAGACTTTGTATAATCTACACATTTGCATAATTTTTATATCACTGTGTGCAAATATTATCTTTTTGATAAAATTTAAGAAACCTGTGTTTACGCTCAAAACCCGATAAAAAGTTGTTTAATAAATATATTGCGTAAATTTGCTGTTTTCGAAGTGGCGCGGTGCGCGCAATTCTATACCACGCAATTAAGCCGGATATCGATCCCGTCAAATTAGGACGCGATAATATAAAGACATTGGCAGTAGAGTGCGCCAGTCACCTCCAGCTGTGACCAAAGAAATATTTTACGTGTTCACATAAATTCATTATTCCGAGTGTTGGAGTACATATTAATCACAATTTCAAAATCCTTGTACCTCAATTTCAACGTACGATTTTAAGATTATTAAGATGTTTCTTCATTTTCTATAAAACATTTTTCGAAATGTCATAATATTCACAGTCATAGGTGCACTATTTGTTATTTATCAAAAATTAATTGCTTACGTATTTGTATTATAAATATATGTTATTTATTAAAATTATGTAACATGTAAAATATTTTTCATTAAAAATTGACGCAATTTATTCTTACATATATTTAAAAAAAAAAACATACGTATGTATATGACAAATGTACATTTAATCAAAACACGTGTTGCTATTTGGGTAGTTATTAACTCTAGAAAATAACTTGTCGATTATATAAATTGATCGATCACTCACTGTTGGTGCAAATTTAATTGAAATATATGCACATTTTAATGATGTATAGTTTAAATAAATTTGCATTGGAGTTTGCTTAAATTTGCATTTGGGATGTGTTTCGCGTTGAAACAATCTGTACTTCGATTTGTATGTCACATCAGCCGACTCGTTTGATCGACTTTTAACAATATTCATTAGTCAATCCTTAAAATTCATCCTGTACGCACTGTTTGAATAATAAATTTATCCGAAAATTATCATTTTTAACAATCAACAAGAATGGGGGCTTTATTTTTTGCCTTAGTTGCAAGTAATTTAATGCAATTATTTTTAACAAAGCACTATGCATTGTTATTTTATTTTTTATATCTAAATAATATTACAAGTCAAATTAAATTAACTAGATATTTTTAAAACTACATATTGACATGTCTTACCACGAGCGACTGTAATATTTTGATGGAATTAGTCGTTTTAACTTTTCAGCTATCACTACTCTTTACTTTGAAGCAAAAATTGGTTCAGAATTTATATTGTAAAATCTCACGATGAAATAATTCCAAGATACATTTTGTATTATATATTTTAAAGGCATAAAAGTATAATAGAATGTTATATATTTATTATTACATTGTACAAAAAATTATAAATTACGATTCGACTATGTATGATACTTTAAAGTTGACTTATTGTTTACACACACGCGTGCGCGCGCACACAGTTTTAAACAGTTTTAAATAAAATTAAATAACATTAATAATAATTTCTGTATCGTTTAATCGAGTGACGTTAGAAAAAGTTCCAGAGTACGTCTCTCAAACAGAACAATAATATTTTTTCATTAAAGCTGGATAGTCGTACTATATGCGACTAAAAGAAAATTAATTGCATATTAAGCAATGATTTAGCTCAAATCATTGCTAAAAAAATGTCCAATTTAGCTATAATGTCTAATTGTGCTTTCGGCCGTAAAAGGGGTTGAATTTGCATGTTTAAAGAAATAGAAATTAAATAGCATGTTGCTTTATATGTATAATACAACCCGCAAACCCACATACCCGTGTATACGCAATTATTTTTTCAGTAGATATAAAAGTAATTCGTGTCAGATAATAATATTCGTGAATAACATTAATTAATCCACCTGACACATGTTTCTTTATATCGGCTCTGAATGTGTTGAAAGCCGTGCACAAATATAGATTTTATAAACGCGTTTTGTTCAAAATTGTATGAATAATATGCATAATTGCAACCTAATGCAGTGCAAACAAAGACACCTGTTATACAAGATCAAACACAGATGCGAAAGCATTGGTACATAAAAGGAAATGGCGAATGGCCTCTTTTATCCAGTTTATAATTCAATCTGGATTTGCTAGATCACGAGTTGCAACGGTGAAAATGATAAAGTTAGCTATTCTGCTCGCTGTCGGCGTCATCGCTCAGCGTAAGTAAACAAAAATCAACTTTTAAATAGACAAATAATAAGTTCATTATGCAAAAGAATTTATAAACTAATTATCAACTTTAAAATTAAACAATAGTTATTTCTAACACATATTCTAAAATAATTATAAATATTACGTAATATTACTAGAATATACATCTTTTCTCGTATCATTTTTTATGAATTATATTTTTTATTTATTTCATACTAAATAAAACATTTTCAGATAAAATAATAAGTAATGTCGGTATAATTATTATTACTTGTAGAGACTTATTGCGATGAGCCTGAACGAATCGTCGGCGGTGACACAGCCACTATCGGTCAATTTAAGTATCAAGTCTCCCTTCAATCTTATGGCGAACATATTTGCGGAGGTACCATAATTAGTGATACACACATTCTCACCGCTGCTCATTGCGTAGACGATACTTTCTATACAGAGGACATGGTATGTGTAACCATTTTATATTAACAAAGATAGTTTTATCATTAATCAAAATTATAACCAGAGTTGGATGTCCTTTATTACACATTTGTTAAATTTTATTAATAGTGTACAGTAATACGATACATACTAATAGGTAAAAATATTTTTACGCGAACTTTTTGGAATAATTATTGTAATATTCTTACTCCTTGATTAGGTTACTCGTAGAAGATCATACTCTCTATTATCAAGTGAAATAACGACGACTGATGAAGAGTGGAGAATAACGCGAATAACACGAATAACGCGAATAAAATATAGGTACATAATAATGTGAATGATGAATAGTCTATACAATAAATAATACAATAAAAAAGTAAAATCTTATTCAAATAATAAAATACATGAAATAAAAATTTTTATTATGTTATTAAAATGCCCACAACTTTGACTATAATTGATTTATTCTGTAAGTTTAAGAGATCGCACGCGATATAAAATCTTTTTTATTCAAATAATATAAAAAGATATTTTTAAAAGGCCGCCAAAACTATTAGTACTCTTTGTATGTATTCAGGATATTAAAATAAAAAATTTTTGCAATTCTGTAATAAAATTTCAGTTTACAATTTCTAAAAAGCTGTTTGTAGATTGTAAAATTTTTGGGGAAAACAGTAGATTTTTATACAAAACGTTGAAATTTCACATATCGCTGCGAGAACTTATATTTTCTGTTCGAAAAGAAGAAACATTCCAAAAAAATTCGTATAGGCAAATAATCACATTGTGTCCTCTTTCATCTAGAGAAATAATGCTGAGAGAGGTTTCAAACACCCTGCTTGTACTTTATTCCAATCTCCGCAGAAATCATTTGGAAACTCATTCGGAAAATCACACGATATTATTCAAGTAATGGAATCAAATTTACTCGGATAACGTTCCGGTTATTAGTTCGGTCCGCGTACTTGATTTCCTAGGCATTTCGAGTATTATCAAGTTGGACAAAGCCAGTAATAGTCAGTTAATGTTTGAATTAATCGGATATGCGACTCATCAGACATCGACAGCGTTAAAACTTATAGCACAGAAATACACCAAATATTCACAATCGCTTCACATCTTTTTCTCATTCGTATATCTATTACCTTTTATACACATATATACATATATGTATAAAATATATATATTTAATAAAATTGCTCGACTTGCAGGTTGTCGTAAGCGGAATCGTTACCTTGGGAGTTGGTGGCGAAAAACACGACATTAAATGCATTCGGATACATCCAGATTACACCGGTGAAAGAGAGGGCGGCTGGAAACATGACATTGCTGTGATTACCGTAAGTTCATCAAGTTCACTCGAGTGTACGAAACGTGAAAAATTCTCATTTCCATATATTTTGTACTACAATTTTGCAAATGTTTATCTAGTTGAAGAAACCGATCGAAACAAACAATGTCCAAGGTCCGATTGCTTTAGCGACTAAAGACCACATTAACGGCGGTAAGCGCGGTATCGTAAGCGGATGGGGAAAAACCAGAATAAGTGGATCAGTCTCGGAGATTCTTAGATGGCTTACCGTGAACGTCTTGAGCCAAGAGCGTTGCCTGCATGGTCATAAAAATCCACGTACCAACGAAAATCAAATATGCACGTTGGAAAAGGTCGGGAAAGGCGCCTGCCAAGTGAGTATCTCTCATTTCCTCTTATGCATAATGCATCTAGAAAGTATTACATGTGCGTACATATTTTCTTTCAAAATAGTCAATCAAAAATTGAGTATGGCATGAAAAAAATGTTTTTATTAGTTGGCGCACATTCATGTCTTTTATTGTTTATTGTCATAAATTAATAATATGTTCTTTCTCACATTTTAGGGTGACAGCGGTGGTCCGCTTGTTATCGATAATGAGGTTTGCGGTGTCGTTTCTTGGGTCTTGCCCTGCGCTTTGGGTATATCCGATGTATACACTAACGTTTACAAGTACCGCGATTTCGTCACAGAATCCCAATTATTGTGTTGATAATTTTAACAATCACAGATAATTGATAAACTATGTTCAATACATTGCCTAATTTTGAATCTTAAATATTTTAATAAACACTGTAGCAATAATGAAAATATTATAGAACGGTAGTTAAAAATCTTTTCCTTTAATGAAATAAGCCATAGGAAAAATTAAAAAAATCAAAAAAGTAAGAGTAAAACCAAACAATTTTTTCACAAAGTACTTACAAATAGATTTTTTACTCATTTCTCGAATCACACCGGTATAATATATTACTTTGTACATGTGTGAAACATCGAGAAATGTCGTCGTATATTTTTCGTCAAAATAATATGATACTGCAAATAGAAAATGTTATCAAAACATAAAACATTTTATTATAATATTGAATGTTACGATAAATTGTACATATATTTCTTCCCAACCGTTAAATTATTTATATATGATACTTTCGATCAACACCTACCGAATATAATGTACCTTTATCGTATTAATATTTTTATAACTATAAATATTTGTTTGTTATCCGGCAGTTTATTTATTCCTCAAAACCAATAAAGCCGATTTAGTCGCATTCAAGTGGATATGAGCAAATATCGCGATAAAGTGGCGACTTCTTAATCTGACCGGATAACTCGACAGTTGCAACCCTCGCAGCGTGCATTCACGTCCAACTAGATGCGGACGGGTTTGCCCGAACAGCTGATAAAATATCAGCCGTCTATCGAACTGTGTTTGTCGATATTTTATCCGTTTAATTGTTTTTCGATAGCCAAGAGCCGGTTCGGCTTTTTGTGCACGGGTGTGAGAGGTCAGCGGGACGGGGATGGCCCGGGTTATTCGTTACAATGAAATTGAATCGCGTGTTAACCGGAGCAAGATGGTAAACAGTTTTTATCGGCAGAATAATTTTTTGCACAGGGGCTGCGCAGGAAATTAGCTGCCGCTGTGCAATCTCGTGTCAATGCCGACATAAAAGCTCGCCGCGACGTAGACAGACTACAATGGCACACTGTCGAAGAAGAAACGCGAATTCGCTGTTACGTGTCCTTGTTCTTTCCGCGGGAATACGCTCGGCAGTTTGTCTTTGTCAGGCGAAGCCGTTTATACTCGCGTCTGCGATGTATGCATTTCTGGGACACTATAAATGCCTTTATGGGACACTAAATGCGGAAAATAAAAACGCGCGGTGTAAAATACTGCTTTTATATCAAAGCAAATGTGCTGAAGTTTTAACAATACATTGGCACCTATAAAAGTAGTTCAGGATGGAAAATCTTATTGTTAGACGACTTCTGTGCCGTGAATCACGTCAAGATTTGATTAATTAATATTATTGAGAGATGGGCTGCGAGAGCTCAGTAGAACTTCTGACAAAAGTATTAAAAGATATTAAGCAATTTTATGAGTGCGAAACATGTCGGAAAGTGACAGTTTTTATTGTGGTTAGAATGTAAGAGTTCAAGACACAGCGATTAAAATCATCTTCGTGTATGAAATGTCGAGTGGACAGGCGTGTGTTCCAATTCCAGCGCAGTCATCCATATAATCGCACGAGTATGCGAAAAAATGAAATAACAACGGGCGCATGTCGAGCATACGCTTCTAGTAAGTTATTTTTTGTTTTTTTTTTTCCCCTCCCCCAAAGATACGCTTATCAAGCACCATTTCTCTTCTTCGCCAATTTCGACTTCTGTCGATCCGCCTGGCTGCCATTGCCTCGTTCATTCGATTTTGGGAATTCTCGTTTTGACGCTCGACCGGCGCAATCGCAGCATCCCGGCGGCGAATTGCGCGACAGCTCGCCGGCCCGTTCGTTAATTGTCACGGCGGCCAAGTTGGAAACAGCCGGGCACACGTAGTAGATGGCCGGGGCTTACCGCGCGCGTATCGCGTTTAACTATGCTGCCATTTTCCCTCTCTACCCACCCGTCGCTTGCCGGCGCGAAACATCGCACACGTGCGGCGAGCAAGAAAAATTGCAGCACAATGCACGAATTCACTACTCCCGAATACCCGAAAGTCGCTCAATGGCTGTTCGGCGCTTGCAATTCCACGCTTTGATCGCATCCGTGAAAAATACCAAATGTTACGATCACATCTACTTTTCTTTTAACTTAATAATAACTATATTACTTGGTATAATTAAAGATAAAATAAGTGTGAAAGAAATTATTATTTCTCAATGCATAGAGCGCGGTGCATGCATGTGCAAAGAGATATAAATATTTAGAAACCATTTCCATTATTTTTTAAATAAAATGATTAATTTTTTTCTGTTATTTGTATAAATTGCTCTAATATACATATGTATACGAGGTCCACACAGCGGCAAATTGATGTTTAAATGTTTCAATTTCCCTTAACTTATAACATTATATTACATTAGAATCGCAATTTGATTTGCAAGCTAGTTCAAAGACCATTAAAGAATTAAACATAAATTGTGGTTTCTTTTCAAATACTTCTCTAATTTCATTAATTTTATTACGACAAATTTCGAAGCGGTCGCGTACGCGTGCAGTAAATAAGAGATGCTTACCGCGCGTATGTTTCGCGTTAATAGTACGTGCGTACCAACATCGTTTTTCTGTCTACTATTTTCCACTGGCATAAAACTGGGGCGCGTTGCACTGCGTGCAACATGTGCATCAGAAAAATCGGTACATATGGGCTCCACGTACCAATTAAAACCAGCAGTTTTCGTATCTAATTAAAAAAACAGCGTATTTGTTAAGCGGAAATAAATATTTCTGCTCACATAAAAACGTTCTGCGTAATTTCTGTAACATATATTATATCCAGATATAAAAGAGATAGAGAAGCTATACACTAAATCCAGTGTATATGTAGTTTGAGTTTTTCGCCTGAGAAAATATAACAAACTTTAAAAAAATTTTCTCTGGTTGACAGCGTTATACCTAACCATATATTTTTTCAGAATTTTCTGTCGTTATTTAAGCGGAAAATTTAAATTGTCCACTCTGGCCCCTGCCTCTCTTTTAGTCGATAAAAAATATGGACATCAGTAGCTTTCGTGAAAATATCAACTGCTGAAACGTCAGAGGTGATATCACACATGGAACTTGTAAAATAGGCAATACTGCGGACATAATTCTCGTTTATATTGCGTAACAAAAAATATATGTGCTTGATAAAAAATATCTAGTAGGAAAAGCGAATCAGAAAAAGTGTTTTCTTTTTATATTATCATTACATTTATTGAAACAGTATTCACGTCGATGAATATTTTTACAATATAATATTCTATACTCGCTTGTTTCGGTTTTAATTCTGTCATTTTTGATTCATGCTTAAGTTCCCCTATAACATGATACATTATCGATTATGAATTTTATGTACAATGCGGCCTAATCTCTTACCTATGCAATGTACAACATTCCGTAAGCATGCGAACCGCGGATATTGATTATCTATTTCACAAATAGGTATACTTCTCTCGATATTTTTCTGTTTGATCACCTTTCACGCACAGGATTATCAAATCGTATAATTGAGCCACATTCCCGCGCTATAAAAAAATCACGACAAAATATGTGTTGAAAAAAAAATACGTTAAAACGAGAAACATTGCGAATATAAATTTTGATCAAATTGAGTTTGATTAAATGTTTGGATTCCGCACATAGCGATCGTACGATGAAAGTGATTTTTCGATCCGTAAAAGATTGACTTTTTCATTTTACATTTGATCACTTTTTACGCGATCACACCAATCAGTTTTTCCGCACTGTTTGTGTGATTCGCCATTCTGTACATTTCATTCGATATAATCAAATTCGTCACTTACTTAATAGTTGTTATTACAAACTTAATCGATATAAATTATAACAAATACATAAAATGATAGCACCGTGACATTTCTCCTCCGATTTTCACTCTGTCCAAAGTTTCAAAAATGTTCGACAATCTCCAACGGCAGATAGATCCTAGCTTGTGTTTTCCAAACTACAACGTTATAAAAAATCTATGGGTTCTAAGATAAATCGCATCTTAACATATTAATCATTATGATATATTTTTTTACTCGTGTTACATTGTATTTCGTAATAAATCCACTGCCTAATAATTTACTGCTATATCCTATATTACGTGCATTGGATTACTTAACGACCAGATCTAGAGTCTTGCTTTCCCTCTCGTATCTTTTTGTTTTCAGGGGAGGGGAGGGGGAACGGCTTGAATCGGAAGAAATTAATTGAGAAAGTCATAAAAAGTAAATCAATTATCTTCTTAACTGGATACTTAAGATTTAATCGATTCGATGGAATGCATTGAGAGACTAATGAAGTATTTCTATTCGTAGAATTTGATGGGAATATAGAATTTGAAATCAGATCGGCATTAAAGTTGGAAGACCGCCATATAATTCAATACTAATAGACAAAATTGATCCACCTTGAAATTTAATCAACGAGGAATTCCAAGTTTTAAGAGAATGAAATCATGACAACTATATACAGACTTATTTGATTCACTTGCAAAACGCAGTAAGTCACCCTTTTTAATTTCTCCTAAAAACATTATTTTAGGTAACTGGAAAATTATTAAACTTTTACAACAGAAAAATAGGTATGAATATAAATTGTATATATAAAGTATAAAATTTTAAATTTTACGATACAAATTTTAACAATAATTTAACTACGGCAAACAACATCTCAAGGTTTCCTAGCAAATTAAAACAAGTTATAATATTATGGCCAAAAGCGACTTTTCATTAGTTCTGCAAAGGAACCTGTTATTTCTCTTATGCTTACACTTGGATCTTTCGAATTATACTTTCCGCATGTCGACGCAATATTATTATAATACATACTGAACGCTTATCACTCGCCTATTTAAATATATGTACGTATTATCTTTTCATACTTATCTGTACACGAACTTTATGTTTAATACATCTTAATGTCCGTTGTTCGTGATCGTTGATATCCGTTTGATTATATTTTGATTGATCGGAGAATTTATTTTGATGCGTTTTAATCATCGAAAAGAATCACTAGTGACAACTTTGTAAAAGAGCTTCTTGAAATAAGATGAGTGGAGGGAAAACAACTTGTTGTTATGCAAATTACATTTTGATCATCGAACGACAAAGCAAGACCACGCATCGATCTAGCAAGAGTAATTCAATATGAAAAATCTCTGTTTGCAATAAACAAACAGAAACATATCGAGAATAGACCTATCTACAATTATTACTAAAATGATCAATCCTCTCATTCTCCTTTAAAGGGATGATAACCTCGTATACACTCTAAACACTCTTCATCAACACTCTCGTCTCATTGACAGCATCGTCGCGGACGATCACTATACGCCAACAACACATTCAACACGACGATTCCATACAAAAGAAGGAAGAATCTGAGAAAGATATTCGTGTTAAAAACGTACGTGCTAAAGTTCGTCCGCCACGTCACTGGGTCCTTCACAGCGCGTCACTGGGTCCTTCACAGGTCCACTGCACTTGGTCCGCACTGTGATTCTCTCTTGCCGTCGTCCCGAGCACTCGACGAGCGGATAACGTGTGACAGCGACGCGTGAGTTAAAGCGATCTGTCGCGGTCGGCCGAACGATTTTTCCGAATGTGATCCATTTCGCGACCGTCAATCGCCGCGTTTCACTTTGGACTTTTTTTTCCGATCGTCGAAACGTTTTAACTTTCTTTCTTTCTTTTTCTTTTAGGATGCACGATTCACGACGCGGTTGCTCACCTTAACAAATTCGCGACTATGAGAGTGATGCTGGCGAGTAGAATAGTCGGAGTCACGCCGCAGCTGCCACCGTGCTGCATCGCCGCTGGATGTTCGCCTGCAACAAAAACGTGCAAACCGCATTCAACCCATCTGTTTTCCGTTTCATTCATCAATATTATCCCCATTGCTTCTTTAGCAAATTAAAATATCTATTATTCCTAAAAGATGTCTGTTCTCGTACACTTTTCTGTATTTTTTGTTTTTATTACATTAAGAAAGAAACATCTCCGGATTTTTTACACATTAAGATTAATATTTTAAGACGACTTTACAATAATGATACTCTTTAAGGGTGTTCAACATCAATCTTAAAATAGTGGAAATTAATAAAGTTTTAAGATTAAGTTTATAATTATGTCACCACATGTGTAAATTTTTAGAAATTTTTTAAACGCATAGATTTTCTAAACAGTGACTTTAATTTTGTATAGAGTCTTGTGTAGAAATAAGATTATATTACACATTTAACATTTAAGCAAAATAAGTAATAATAGAAATTCAAAAAAAATAATGAAAATAAAAATTAGGATTGTAACAAAAACAATTTCAGATTAAAAAGCAAAATTTTGACTGTACTGTTTAGCTAGAAAAATAAAAGGTATGTAAAAAATACTAATAGATATTTGTGAAATATTATATTATCAATTATATTGTAATGAAAAATTATCAGCTAACTTAACAATTTAGTACAATAAATCGCATTAAATAATACTTTGTATGCCTTCTAATTTTTGTTTTTCAAAGTTGCCAAAACGAAAAAAGATTCTCATGTTAGAAGATAGAGGAGACCACATGACTGACTCTCCACCACTTTTTCAAGATATCAAACATCCTTAAATTGTTAAACATCTGTAGAGAAAACTTTGCGATATTCCATAAAAATACAAACGCAAATATTTGTTAAAATAATATGGTTGTATGTTAAAATTTTCTAGCAAAATTTCTGTGATAAAAATATTCGCGTGTTTTTTACACGAAACATTTATTTGTCACATATTAGCGCGACTAGTTACAAAATGAATTTCATAATTATTGACCATACCCACGTAGAAATCGTGGATGCTATCCAATTTAGTAGTGGCATCCGCGTCGATTAATTCTGTTTTGATTCTTCCTGACCTACTGTTACCCAATTTAGAAAATAGATTTGAACCAATTCACATTGATGCGCAGTGATTTGCCAATAGTGCCAACGCTTAGTCGCAATGATCGTGCATTGAAAATACTGTATGCTTTTGTTGCACCAAGTTTGCACGTATTAACAAATATTGAAATCAATATTGGGCAGTTTATAAATTTCTGCATGGATACGAATAATAATCGGGGGAGTAATAGAAAACTGTTGGCGGGAGTTGAAGTACATTCAATTATTCCAGAAACTAATTTAAATAAAGCACGTCACAGACTCGTTGCATTGAATATTATCTCGGAGTAGCTACATAACGCAGGAGTTTAATTGCGCAGCCCTAATTAGATTCACAATGTAGGTTAATCGCTCGTATAACGCGTTAAACGCTAAGCAGGAACTTTCCAGCCTAACGGCAATCTCGTATCTGGGTCCTGGATGAAATAAGTGAGAAAATAAAATGCGATGAAAGAAGCTCGTGCATTTTTATTCAAAATTAATCTGCAATGCATCCATATTTCGTTATGCACATTACAGTAAATACGACGTATTGAAAAAATAGTTGAATCATATTTATACATCATGCTGAGTGATTTAAATCTTATATTAGGGGTTAGATTTTTGCGTGATGAGCACTTTCGAACTTTGTTCAGTTGAATAACAAAAAGACACAGACATCTTGTAAACTATTGGCTTTAGAAAAATTTTCGGGCAAGCAAGATTTTTTTACGCAAAATTAAACAATTTTTCATATTTCGATAGAAACCGTTTCAATGTAAAAAGAATCAAGTTAACATTAAAATATGAAAAACATTACTTCAAAACATTTTAGAACCTTACCCTTACCCGTCCCTTTGCGATTCTGCAACTTTTGTTTCAAACAATTTTCTCTAGAAACAATTTTTTTTGCGATAAAAATTCGTAACGCTTTATTTTGTTCACCCTGTATATTCTATATTGATATTAAATATGCAATTTTTTTGTAGTTTTATAATGTATAACTTATATTGCATTTTTTACTTTTCGTTACACATTAGTCGATACACTTGGTTCATTTTTCAAACGCAATGTTGGCGACATGTTTATAAAAGTAATGTTCGACTTTTTTTATACGACCATAAAGTTTCATGCGATGGCAGCAAAGAGTAACGCGTTTAACGTATGCAACGGCAGCGTGTAAAACGTGCCGTAACGCGAGCCGCGAGCGAAATATTGTTCGGTTCAGCAATAACAGCAACTACGACGGACACGAAACAACAATTTCGCGCTCTACGACGACGACGACGACGACGAGCGGTATCGCTGTTGCACACAACATTTGGCGGCAATAGAGATAATCACGGTAGTCCGGTGGCGGTAGCATAACGGCCGCTCTCACCGGTTCCCCCGGAAAAGCCGCAATTTATGAGCAAATTGAAAATCTCATTCGGTGGAGTTACCGTATTATCGCCGCGTTCACCTGACGCGTTACCGAAAAATGACACCGGGCCGACGCTTGAAATGTTGACGGCAGTTTCGTCGACGGCGTCGGCGGGCACGGCCGACGTGCGTAATTGCGTTAATGCGCAGATACTACGTGCCGGAACGGATAGCCCGGGGGTCGCGTACGGGTTTATCGGGAAATAATTGAAATTTGCGGTCAATTTTGCAGAGTAATCAGCTGTGTTTGAAATAACGTCGATGGCCAATGCGCCGACCGCCGCGACCGGGTGCGCCCTGTAAATTAATTATGCAGACGAACTGCGCCGCATTAATTTTCATCCGGCACCGGAAGCGGCCGTTCCGCGAGCGAGACGTGCGTTCACCGAGCGTTTCCGAGCGGATCGATGTCCCGACGGTGCGAGAGAGGCGGAAGCGCACAGGGGCGGACGGCACGGGGGTTGCGCTAAAACCGTGAAAACGTCGAAGAAGGCTTGTTAAGTTCTGCAATTCGATTGCCGTACAAACGCGCAGCGTACGCGGTGGGAGGTCTGTTGTCCGGTTGCCGGAGGGGTTTGTTGATTTTTGTAGCCCGCCGACGCGGGTTGCTTGAATTCGAAAACATTAATTTAATCAGCGGTCGAAGAGAGGCAGCGATGCTGCAAAATTTATTGTGCTGTCGGTCGGGATGCGCGCGGCGTCAGTGTCGAATAAAGCGAAACGAAAGTTGCCGAATATCAATGCAGTCTGTTTTCACGTAATATTGTGAATAAACTATAAAGATCGCGTGTAAGTAAAATAATGTGATATTTCCCGCAACATAATCATTAAGATGGTTATCTTTACTCGAAACGATGCAACTTGCAACAATCTACGATTATGCATAACCAATCCGGTATATTCATATTTCCGTAGGCATATTTCGTTACAAGACACTGTTTTTTCATTTTTCTTTAATATTATATTTAATTTCATTCAAATTCATATTATTTGACAACTAAGAGTGTTAAATTAAAATTCCATTTAATTTGAAATTTTGTTAAAACAGATAAAATTTGATTATAAATTTACAACTCTAAGTTTGCTGCAACTGCTGCATTTTTAATGCCCGCTTCTAACTCATCAGAAACTATAATGTTGTATTTTATAAAGAAAAAGTCAAGTATAAATTATTGAAGAAATTTGACACGTGAACGCTGAGTTGAGAGCATACATATTTCGTTTTTGTCACGAGAGAAACCCCCCCCCCCTCCTCCCTCCCGGTTGATAATAGAGACTTTATTAAAGTCGGATTTCGACTTGTGAATTAGACCGCAAGATGCGCGAAAGTTATTGACTTGGAATGGCTGCAGCTGCAGCACGAGTTTTGCGAGACGCGTGCCAGGGCAACGAGCTCGCGATGATTGACAGCTTGGATTGGTGAACTTGCCGAACAAGATATTACATGTGTTATCGCGAGCGCTGCGCCGGCTGACAATAGATCAAAAGCGAGTGTATGCGTGCGGCGCCGAGTACTTGCTGCGACTCCAATATACGGGCCTGTCAAACTTTATGACGGGGGATTTCGATACTTGATGAATGAACACGCGCCGTCCTTTTCGAATGTCACACTTCAGGAGCCCGGCTTGCTTGTCGCCGAGCTTGCGCCGCGAATATGTGAGCGTTTATTGATGCGAAATTTGTCGGTCGCGCGCGAACACAATCCGGAAGCCGTTGAAAAATTTTGCCATCCTTGAAGGCTGCCT